TTGTACCCAAGTCCAGACAAATAGGCTCTTGTCTGCAAGGAACTTTTTTGGATGGCACTCAACCGTTTGCGGACATAAACATCTCAGCTCCATTGTTTTGTTTCATTATCAATCAGCTTGTGGCCCTAGCTTACCACAATTCATTGAAACACCGTTGCTATCCGATTGAAAATCCCAGCAATCTCCATTTCTCCTACTTTATTGCTAAAATATCCATTACAATGGTCGCGTTCACCGGATACAAACGTTGGTAAACGGTTTGCGATTGTTCTGCTGAACGCTACGTTGAATTTGTGTTAAAACCAAACATGTTTTGCAAACGGTCGCCATTTTTGCAAGCATAATTTCAGAGTGTTTATAATTTTCAACACTGTGTTTTGTGTGGTGACCTGTCATTCAGAAGGTGACGTTCTATCATTGAAAAGTTGAATCGTTCAGCAGAACCAAGAGTTTCTCCAACATATTCTGTTGGCATTTGTAAACTGTTTACAATCCGTTTTGGTTCTGGTGAACGTAGCCATTGACAATATGAAGCACTTAATTTGGGGTGTTTTCCAAAAACATGATAAGGCCCATTTTCCAAATCAGTTTTTAAATTTTCGACATTACCATGTGCGTTGATATACAGTGTGTCCAAGATAAGGATGGGATAGCATTAGGATCTGGAGATCGGTTGGAGTTACAATGTTGGTTAGATTAGGAAAAAGTTGCGCAATTTACTCCTCAATAAAATGGTACTTTTACATTTGGAAAATTCTGAATACTTTTTGAGATATCCAGAAAAAAACGAAATTTTGCAAAATCGATTTTATTTTTTTCTGAGCTCATTTGAGGAGATATTTCAAAATAAATGTCACTTCATCATAAAAACTTCTTCAACTCTACGAGATGACATTTTCAAATTTAAAATCTGACGATCATCTTTAGGCTCAACTTAATTTTTTTAAACTGCTAGACAATTGCTCTCGAGCAAAAGTAAAATTTCGACTAACTTGCAAGCTAAATATTTGTGGAACCAAAATATGATAGTTTTCCATGGAGAAATGTCAGTTTAGGGAATACTTATCGTTGAGGCTTCCCTAAAATAGTTGGTGGAAACGGCCAGAAATCAACAATTCTGTTTCCTAGGATATTTGTCGAGTGTCTTCTTAGGCCCAGTTGTACAATCTCGGTTCAAAACAAAGTTCAGCTGAACTCGACTGGTACTTGAGCTTTTCTATTTGAAATACATTGCTGTCAGCTATTAATTTTTTTTAACAAGTTTGACAGCAATGCATTTCAAATGGGGAAGTTCAAGTACCAGTCGAGTTCAGCTGAACTCTGTTTAGAACCAAAATTGTACAGCTAGACCGTAGTGTTCTTTCAATTTCTATAATGTATTTATAAATATTTCATCTATTTCATTATATTCCTCTTGGCTTATAAATGCGAACTCATGTAGCTTTTTATCAGGCAACATAATATACATTTATAGGTCTTGTTCAAATTGTAGACAGAAGAAGATACATTATATTCTTCAATGAGGAGGTTGCTAGAATCAAAAATCTAAAAAGATACTTAGGCCCAGTTGTAAAATCTGGGTTCAAAGCAGAGTTCAGTTGAACTTGACTGGTACTTCAACTTCTAGCTGACAGCAATGTATTTTAAATGGGAAAGCTCAAGTACCAGTCGAGTTCAGTTGAACTTTATTTTGAACCGAAATTGTACAACTGGGCATTAGTATTATCGGGTCTTCAAAAAAAAAAAAACAATCAAAGATTGCTATGGTTTTTTAAACGTATGTCTTAGCAATAGTTTTCTTTAATTTTGACAATGTCAGTCAATGAAATTTAATGTCAAAATGTCATGTCAAAAATCCTGACCAATAAAGAAACAATAATGCGACGTACGTTTTCGTAACCAAAGCAATCTTTGATTGGTTTTTTTTTTGAAGACCCGATAGCATTGTATGTATTAGTTTATTGGCTTACATGTCAAGGGGATCAATGATGCCAGTTGAAATTATTTTGTCCATAATAGGGGTGTCATCTTCATTTTTGTAGCACTAGAGAACATTTGAAACCTGCTTGTAATATAACTATGTATATTTTTTTTTCCATGAATAAATTTTGACACATAATAACACAGTTGGTCTCTTGGTCTTGGGATACTGGTAATATCTGTGGTAATATCATGTTAGACAAGATTGTGTTTGGATTTTCCTGATCTTCAAAATTAGCTTCTTTCTTCTAGTTATGTATATATGTTTTTTCTATAATCGGCTTGCCTGCCTCTTGCACGATCAGGATACGTCCTGAAATCTAAGTTGTAATTTACCTCTTTGAACACACTGGCTCTAGAGCTTCCACCAGCATTCCGGCTATTTGCATAGAAATGTTCTTGCAAGACATACATAATATAATAATGAACCATTTTGCATAGGTACCTCTAAGTAATCAAAAGTAGAGTTGGATAAATTTATTAGTGTAGGGTAATAAAACCAAATTTTTGAAATTATTTTTCTTTTCTGTGCTTTTAGGAAGGAAATCGCAAAATAGCTTTTGCTGCGTTCTATTCAACTCGACTGTTTTTTTTTTAGGTACATGGTAATTTTCTTTCAATTATTGTCCCAGTCTTTCACAAAAGAAAATCCAAAAATATAAAAAATAGTCTGGTAAAAATTGCTTGCAACTTGTGAGTAAACACCAAGGATGTAAACATTGCATTCTCTGCCGCAAAATAAATTACCCCCCAAACCAATTCAAAATAAATTTCGAATTATATTTTTATTATCTGTGTTTATATCGCCAAGGCCAAAGTTCAACGACGGTCCAATCAAACGAGTGAAAGGTTTTCTTTGTTCTTTGTCTAATACTAAAAAATAAACGAAGACAGACATAGGTCGTAATACGCACATTGGAAGCGAAAAACGATGATAACTTCAATAATAATAAACTATATGTATTATGTTTTTCATTATGCCTTCCAAAATAGTCAAAATAGTTATTTTCCTAACAAGTGCGCAAAGTGTTACTTTTCCGCACGCAAACACAGTTATACGAACGATACGAAGCGGAGTTCGGATACGTGTTTGCGTGCGGAAAAGACACTTTGCGCACGTGTTAGGAACAAAATTTTTCCTACGAGCTTCATATCAGGTAGGTAATAACAAAAAAAAAAAAAAAAACGATAATTTGTTTAAATAGGTTTGTTCCAGCAGGCTATCAGAAATGTTGGCAGCAGCTTGTGACATGCGCAATGACAAATTTGTGTTCCAGCAAAGAAATCTTAGTTGTTTCAGCAGATGTTCGGAACATTTATAGCTTTTTGGCAACTGCTCAAAATGCTTGTCGATTTTATTCAAACATTTTAACTGCTAACCTAACTTTTCGGTTTTAAATTTGTTGTGTGTTATGTTTTTCTGTTATGTCGTAAAATTTTGCCAGATTTTCAGGTGCATAAATTTAAATTGAGTTATATTTCAGTCTATTCTTGAGTTCGTATTTGTACCGCTGTGGTAAATGGTAATGGATTTGTTTGATGAATTGGATTATGATGATAGCTCATCTGATAGTGACAATAGTGACATGACGATGATTTAGAGCTCGAAATGTTTGAGAACCGGGAGCGGCCAAAGAATAAAAATTATATCCAAGAGCCAGTCCAACATTTTAGTGAATCGGAATTCATTGAACATTTCCGAATAAGCCGACATGTTGCAAATACTATTGCAGAACATTATGAGCGAAGCAATTTATTCAATCCCCAGTCAGGGGGAAATGATAAAATCAGTTCCGAGCATCAAGTCTCATATTTTTATGGTTTGTAGGACATGAGGCTGCTTCTTTTAGAGACGTATCAGACCGATTTTGTATCTCTATAAGTAGTTTGTTTAGAATCATTAGGAGGCTCATCTATTTCCTAAGCAATTTAGCTCCTCAAACAATAAAATGGCCAGATTTTCAAGAAAAACAAGAAATTGAAAGTTTTTTTCGAGAAAAAAATTTCCCTGGAGTCATAGGGGCTATTATTGATGGCTCCCATATTCGAATTGACAAGCCAACGCAAGATCCAGATTCATACTACAACCGCAAGAAATATTTTTCTATGCAGGTAAGGCCGAAAATACGATTAAAATATGTAGGAACATGTACATATCTACAGTATAATATGTTTTTTTTTTTTCCAGCTACAATTGGTGTGTGATCACCAAAAAAAAATTCGAAGCCTTTTTGTTGGCTTCCCTGGGTCAGTGCATGATTCAAGAGTTTTCAGAAGATCTCCTCTTTTCAATGAATTACCTAACAAGTGTGGCGATTATTTCATCTTGGGTGATAGTGCTATGGTTGTTCACGTCATCTAATTTCCCCATTTAGGGATCACGGTAATTTAACACGTCGACAAAGACTTTCTAATCAAAGACTATCAAGCTGCCGATATATTGTTGAACACTGTTTTGGCCTCCTGAAACAGAAATTCCGCCAACTGTACCATCGCAAACTAATAAACATGAATGATATTGCAAATTTTATAAGGGCATGCTGTGTGCTACACAATATGGCACTAGAGGATGAATTCCCTGATGATGTGGAAGTGAATGATAATGAACAAGAGCATAACCAAGATAATCCTGAATTGAATGAAGAAGATTTAGAAAGAGATATTCCAGAAGGAGCTGCTTATAGAAATTACTTACTTCGCACTTTAAATTTGTAATATCCTACTTTCTTGAATCTATAGCCTTTATTCGTTTCCAACATTTATTATTATTATTAATTATTATCATTGATTTTCAGTTTGACTGTGTATTTGGGTGATAACCTTTATAGCTTATATGTACCTATTAATAAAAAAAATCAAACATATAATAAAAATTTTCTTCGCAAACGCAAAGTTAATCGTGGGTAATTGAAAACGCCTACTACGCAGAAAAACTAATATCGAAAAAATACTTGAAAAAAAAAAAAATTCAAAGAAAGTTCATAATAACTAAATATTCTACCAGTATTCTACCTACATTTTCAACCACATATATTATTATAACTATTTTCAAGATACTTTCGAAGAATAGTGTTCCTCTCTTCCTGTATATCATTTTGCCTTTTACGTTCAGTCAATTTTTGCTTTTGCAATTGTATTCGCTCCTCTATTTTCCTTACTATCTGTTCGTGTTGCTTTTGTCTGTCTAATCTAATTTTTTCGAGAACATCGTACCTGGACACAATTCTTTTTATTTTTATGCTTCTTTGCTCTAAATCACTGTTTTTCATGGGCATTTCAGAATGTGTAGGTGTATCAGAAACAAATTCCATTCTTGAACTCAAAGGGCTTTCCGAATTATGTTCATCTTTTTTATTCTGGATTGTAGAAGTAATACTTTCAGGTATAGCAACAATGGTTTCATTGCTTAACAGTACCTCTGGATTTATATTCTTTTTTTTACAAAAAATGATATCCATTTCCTCCTGATATTGAAAAACTTTACTACCTCTGCCTGTTTTGTTGTTATTGTCAGTCACGTTTTTGTATGCCCTCAAGAGAGTTCTCCACTTATTTTCCACCTGAGAAGCTGTTAGTTTTAGATGGAACTCCTTATTCAAAATTTCCGCTATGATTTCCCATAACTTCTTTTGTTTCGTAATTTTTATTCCTATTTGGGTGTGGTGTGATTTGTAAAGAGCAATTAGACGCTTTGTTACATTTGTTGACCAAGATGTATAACCTTCAAGCTGGCTCTGTACCACATTCTGGAGTTGTAAGATATCTTTGGAAATATCTGATAACTGGACATTCGAGTCACCGTTGCCCACTGATTTGCTGGGTAGGACAACGAATTCTTGCACCTCTAAAATTAATTCCAAACTCTATTTGAAACACACTAAAAAATAACCAATTACCTCTTAAAATACCCTGCATCATTAACTGTTTTTTTTTTTTTTTTTTATTTATCTTTCAAATTTTGATTGGCAAATTGGAAATGTCAAACATTTTCGTTCCAGCAGAAAGGACCTCGCACATTTCTTATGGAAAATGGCTTTCGGCTAAATTTTTTCAAAAATTTTATATAATGTAGTCCTCGATGTCCTGATTAAAAGTTCTCGTGGGCACAACTTGATCCATTGATCAGTTTTTGAGTTATGGGTTGTCAAAATTGGCTTTTTTGGACTTCGAGATATTGATTTTTTTTAACATATTTGTTTATATTTCCTCGATTAGCACATTTAAATTAAAAGTTTCTACTCTTTTTTTTTAGGCGTTTTGGTGTCTTCTTAAAATGTGGCACAAAAGTTCCTACAGCGTCTTACACAAAAAGGTGGCGGCAAAGAAATGTCAATTTAGAAAAAGTCGGAAATAACTTAATTCGATAAATTGTGTAGAATAAAAAAAAACGAACGGCTAGATTTTGCACTATTTTCAATATGTTGTTATCAAAAGCATACTTAAGAATACCTACTATAATTTTGGATCCAAAATGTTATACCAGGTGTTCATTTTGTGCCAGGGCCCCGGTGTAGATATTGATACCGACTGCAAGCGGGTTCCAAGTTCAAATGCTGTTTTAATGGGCATTGTTCATTGTTTTAAGTTTGATGTAGGTAGGAATAGAGTTAGGTACCTAAAACTGATATTGTTGACTACTGGGCGTTTGCACCGACCATTCTAAAATGGTCGGTGCAAACGGCCAAAAGGCCCGTCGCACATGGAGCTACCCATAAACGACGTGACTGAGTAGAGACGCCACGCCAGTTACAAATTAGTTGGATACTCAATTCTCGTTCACGAGGGGACGGGGCGAAGATCGAAAATTAACGCGTTGGTTCAGTGTAGTGTATGCAAAATGTCGAGCGATGAGGAGGAAGAAGTTATTTCATATTATTATAATCCAAGATACAAGCGCAGCATTAGGAGATTATGGGGTCATCCATGACGTTCATCCATCCATAGAAAGAAAGAAAAATTGTGGAATGTTTGTAGCTGCTAGACAATTACAGGCAAACGACGAAAAATTCCAGTCTTTCTATCGTATGAGCAAAGAAACCTATATTCTTCTAATTGTAAAAACACAGATACTTTTCTACCTTACCTACCTTTAATATCGGAAGCTTGGTAATTCATTTCGTATTTTGTCATTTCAATACACAAATTGCGAAAAAAATCTTCAACAAATCCTCACGCGACCAACAGGAGTCTCTTCGCGATTTATCACTAACCAGTAGCGTACGAGTTGGCGACTAGTAGCGCCGTGTACGATATTCGATTAGAATACACATGCCGTGGACTTGCAGAAGACTGTCAAGTGATTTTAGTTTAATTTCAGTTTCATACCAGTAGCTCCGTGTGCGACGGGCCTGTGTATCTGACGACTGACGAGTGTGACCTTTTTTAAAACTGTATAAATAACCATTCTCACAGATATAGCGTAGGAATAAAGAGTGCCATCCCATCAGACTTCTGCCTATCTACTTAACTCAAACTAAGAAACCTAATAATGTTTTTCATTGCCTCACTTTAGGCAATTAATCGAGAATCATATGGTAAAGTGTTGGGAAAACTACTGGTTGTGTTGTAGGGTACAATCTAAAGATTTTAACTACCGATGTTCGGCATCCAATACTATCTAGTATGAGGCAGTAGATGGATAGCGAGTTCTTGGTGTCTCGCCCGGTTGTCTTCTTGTTAGAATATTTGATTTCAGTACTAGGAGTTCAAAAGTTTTTCAAAAGTAATTCAGTGAACATACATTTTGTTTCTCAAATATAAAGGGGGATTTCATAGCTTTTAATATACTAAAGTACTATTGATATAAAATATCGGAACTAATGTGTTTTACTTTTTCACACATTTAAGTAGAACTAAAAAACAGTAAAACTGGAGTCAGTTTTATGAAGCGCAAACTCTTCCTCAGCTTACTTTTATTGATGCGCCAAGTAGACTATGCGGCATTATCCATCTACTGCCTTTCTAAACAATATGTATATAGTCTTGGATGCCGGAAATCGGTAGAGTAGAATTTTTAGCTTGTTTCCTGTACAACCAGCAATTATTAACATTTTTCAACGTTTTAACTTATAGTAGCGTCAATTCATTGTCTAAAGTTATGCAATCAAAAACGTTATTAGTTTCAAGTATAGACATAAGTCTGATAATGGCACTCTTTTCTTACGCTATATTTGAAAATGCGTATTTATACAGTTTCAAAAAAGGTGAAACTATTTTATGTTTTGTACGCTTAGTAAATATTATCAATTTCAGGTACCTAACTCTATTCCTACCTACACCTACATCAAACTTAAAGCAATAAACAATGCCCATTGAAACAGCATTTGAACTTAGAACCCGCTTGCAGTCGGCATCTAACAATTACACCGGGGCCCTGGCACAAAATAAACACCTGGTATAACATTTTGGATCCAAAATTATAGTAGGTATTTTTAAGTATGCTTTTGATAACAACATATTGAAAATAAAGCAAAATCTAGCCGTTCGTTTTTTTATTCTACAAAATTTATCGAATTAAGTTATTCGCTACTTTTTCTAAATTGACATTTCTTTGCCGCCACCATTTTTTGTAAGATGCTGTAGGAACTTTTGTGACACATTTTAAAAAGACACCAAAATGCCTAAAACTTAGAGTAGAAACTTTTAATTTAAATGTGCTAATCGAGAAAATATAAACAAATATGTTGAAAAAAAATCAATACCTCGAAGTCCAAAAAAGCCAATTTTGACAACCCATAACTCAAAAACTGATCATAGGATTGAGTTGTGCCCATGAGAACTTTTATTCAGGACATCGAGGACTACATTATATCAAGTTTTCAAAAAATTTAGCCGAAAGCCATTTTCCATAAGAAATGTGCGAGTTCCTTTGTTGCCAACTTGAAAACATCTGTCACTAACAAATAGGGCAATCCAAACAAAATGGTGGTCAATGCATGGTCAATGCCAAAAAATTGGCGCCATAAATTTAATTCAAGCAATCGTGACATTTTTCATCAAGAAACTGTTTTTTGTGTATTTTGTGGTGCTTTTAGATGATTTTCTAGTGTTTGGGAGGATAATTTTCGTATTCTAAGATGGAAAGTTTTTAGTTTAAGAAATTATTAGTGGAAAAAAGGCATTGGCCTCCATTTTGAATTCCATTTTGACAGGTCGTTGGATTGCCCTATTTAACTGTTAGGTTAATGTCACCAACATGTTTCCAACTTTTTGCTGGAACCAACCTATTATTTTCAATTAACTTGAAGGGAACCTATGCATTTATCAAAAAATTACATAACAAAAAAAATAACAGAAAATCCTCGTCAGAGCTGTTCATCTTAAAGCGTTTAAATTTGATGAGAAAGTTTGTAGATTTTTGCATATAAATAGAGAACAAATCTGACCATAGATAAGGGATACAAAACTCTCTCGAACCTATATTATAGATAGGCAACTCAATACAAACATTTTGTTCCTGATTACAGCGTCCTCTCGCGTGTGTAGTCAGCAACTTGAGAGCGCGGGAAGCGCTCCTTTTTAAATTTAATTTTTTTTTTCTTTAGGATCCGTTTATCATTTTTTATTGCCACTAGCACTGAACAATTTAATATGTTTTTAGTGGAAATAAAATTATGATAAACAGTCTCTTGATCACATACCGTAAGAGTTACATACCAATTATTCCATGTATTAAATAGAAAAATAACAATTTTGAATTACTTTATTAACTACAGTATAATATCAATCCAATCAGTAATAGGTACCTACAATGAATTAGATTTTTTATTTACGACTAATGTATAATGTGCGTATTATATTTGTGATTTTGGCAGTATAATGACATATGTTATTCCTCCAGGGATTAATGACGAGTAGCGGGATTAATGGTCATTATTCCACAAAAGTGTCAGTGTCAAACGTGTAGTGCTGGTGGATTTGTATTGAAAATTATGAGACGGATGAAATTTGTTCATTGAAAATCTCGAATAAATTAATTTGTTGTAAATAAAGTAGAGTATACTACTCGCAATAATGGCTATTATTCCCTCGGAATGTTACTCCCTCGCCGCTAACGCGGCTCAGTTCGTAAATATTCCTCGGAAATAATAGCTATCATTATTGACTCGTGGTATAATCTACTATTGATTGTGAACGTTTTGCAGGCATAAAATGAACACCTAAAAAGAAAGAAAGTTACAGTGGTGAAATTACAGCAGGTAAAATTCCGATTTCGGTATAATGTAGGGATTGAAACATAAGGTCCGTTCCACCAGGGTTCATACTTGACCTTGAAACTTGGAAAAAAAGGGTTGTCGTAGATTAATTCATATGACACATTCAATTTTTTGACAAATTAAAATGAATGACTTCTGGTTTAAGAACCGACGAACATTTTTGACGTCATTGATTTGTTTCACTGAATTTTTATTTGTTAAACAAGGAAGGCAAATGCTGGTGGCAAGTACAAACCCTGGCGAAACAAACTTTACCTGTTCATCATTTTTCGGAATTCGATGAATTTTTACTCTGTTCCCTCGGCTTTCACACATTGCCACACAACAAGATAAAACCATTTTGCTTTAAACGGAGAAAATTTTCAATCTCTGATTCAAATTATTGAATAAAAATGGAATATGTCAAAATTTGTCAAAATATAATGAAAAAGTAAAAGTGAAGCGACGCTGCCACATGTCAAAAGCATGGGATATTTGTTTTGAAAAAGAAATGTAATTTCAAATCGTACTACTAGCAATTATATGTTAGCGAAGTACACGCCTTTTTTTTTTCTATTGTTGGAAGCTTTTTAAAACAAATAAAGAATAATCTGGACTTTTTATGTATAAATCTGACAACAGCATTGGACGACAGCGCCTCTGCCGTCTGTAGTCGCAAGCTTTTAGCGGAACAAATTGCGCCATAAGAGTTGCACATGCATGAATCTGACAATGTGTCAAAGTTAATTTATAATTGGTGTTTGTATAGATGTTGGCTGATGTAAAAATAGAGGAAAAATTTGTCATCTTGTGTCAAAGTCGACAGGTGCACTTATTGTTGCTTGACAATTATAATTACTTTTCGGCACTCAGTGCGGATAAGGCCTGTATCCGCACTGAGTGCGGAAAAGTGTAACTTTGAGCCCGGAAATGCGTGCGGAAAAGTACTACTTTTCGCACGCTTTTAGGAAATAGCTATTTACCTAACAAGTGCGGAAAATGAATTTTTCCGCACGCGGCTGCCGTTCACCGAACGACGCGTAGCGGAGTTCGGTGATGCAGCCGAGTGCGGAAAAATATTTTCCGCACGCATATCAGTGCGGAAAATCGATTTTTCCGCACGGCTGTAGGCTGTAGGAAAAATTAATTACCTAGTAAAAAGATTCCGAAATCAAAACAAGGCAATTTCTTCATAAACAAAAACCTGTTCTATGAACCTATATCTAAGTCCCAATTCTTTCCTAATAAAATAAAATAGGAAAAAATAAGTATGTCAAGGTCAGCTTTGAGCATTGTGGTTGGCCAGGAAAAATAATAATGGCAATTTCCATTCGGCAATCAGTGTGAACTGAGTGAGAAAAGTTGCACTGATTCTGCAAATTGAAATCGCTATAATAATTCAAATACTTAATCTTGGCACCGCCATCTATATATATTTTTTTAAACTAAAATCTAATTTGAAGGGGGGTTATTGCAGCCTTAATACAAATTTAATAAGTTAACTTGACCAATGTTTAAGCTAAATGCCTAGATGTATAAATTATATATAAATTATGTATACAGAACTCAAATTAAAAACTAGGGTTTTAAAGATAAAATGGACTAATGCCCGTATGCACCGTTTCATCGTTAGGAAAGGCTTAGCAAAGTTATTCTTAAAGTTGAGAAATAATTTCGTATGCACCGTCAACAAATTTTGTTTTCTTACCTAAGAACCTGATAGAATTTGCAACATTGCAATTTCTTGATGACTTTTGTTTTTTTTTTATCAGTTTTTAGGTTTTTACTTAGTCTGACTTTGACAGTTTTGATTAGTTCGTTGGTTGACAATTTAAAAATTGTTTACTTTTCGCGTAAATATAGAAGAAACATATTCGTTTCTCTATACTTTTCGGTGATTTTGTAATGTATTGGTTATTTGGTGTCGGTGTCTATAGAACTATGAAATATGCTAGGCCGCTCTTTGTTTTGTGTTTCTCGAGGTGTTTTTTGAAGGCAAGGCTCGTTTCGAATATGAATAACTTTGCTAAGCCTTTCCTAACAATGAAACGGTGCATACGGGCACCGTTTCATTGTTAGGAAAGGCTTAGCAAAGTTATTCCTAGCGTTGAGAAATAATTTTGAATGCACCGTCAAGAAATTTTGGTTTCTTAGCTAAGAACCTGATAAAATTTACAACATTGCAATTTCTTTGTGACTTTTGATTTTTTGTCAATTTTTACAGTTCGAGTTTGACAGTTTTGGTTAGTTCGTTGGTTGAAAATTCAAAAATTATTCACTTTCCGCGTATTTTTTAATGTATGTATTTGTTATTTCGTGTTTATAGACCTATAAAATATTCTAGGCCGCTCTTTGTTTTATGTTTCTCGAGGTGTTTTATGGAGGCAAGGCTTGTTTCAAATATGAATGATAGAAAACAGTCTGAATTTAATTTTTCACAAAACGAAAAACAACTGTTCATTTCCATTATAAGCAAATTTGCTAATATAATTGAAAATGAGATGAGAAGACAATACTTGCGAGACGGTGGGTTTTCTCACCCTGAATCGCCGAAAAAAAGACAAAGCATCCATTGACTGAAAATAATTATCTCCATTGAAAGTTAAAACTAAAAATTCTTGGAAACCCATAATCGAAAATGTCCGAAGTATCAAAATCGTCTTCAACTAGCATGTCGAACTCCATTTTTTTGTATAGCAAAGGATGAAAAATCTTGTTCAATATTTGTTATGTTACACGACACTCGTCAAACATGTGTCAAACTCGTAAACAAGCAACGTCAACAAACCTAACCGGTCCTAACCTAACCTCACAATCACAATTTTATTGGCGGTGCATACGAAATTTAAAACTTAAGTTGAAAGGGAAACTAAGAATAGAAAAAAGTGAACGGTGCGTACGGGCATCAATGATAGAAAAAAGCCTGAATTAAATTTTTCACAAAATCAAAAACAACTGTTTATTTCCTTAATAAGCAAATAATGGTGGATTGCACAGTTCGTTTTAGAACGTCTTAAGTCATTCTTAAGTTATTCTGAAAGTTAAGTAAGGAAAATTCGGTTGCACCAGTCAGAAAACTCACCTACGATGAGTTTAGGAATTCCTAACTTTAAGGCACCACTGTTGGGACCTTAACACGTTCTTAGGTAGAAATATTTGTTTTTTTTTTTTATGTCAAATGCAAATGTCAATTATTTGTCGTAGTGATTTCATAAAATAGCTATTTACCTAACAAGTGCGGAAAATGAATTCCGCATCACCGAACTCCGCTACGCGTCGTTCGGTGAACGGCAGCCGCACGCATATCAGTGCGGAAAATCGATTTTTCCGCACGGCTGTAGGAAAATTATATTTATCGAGATATATTATTTTGTTTCCTAAAATCCGAGTTTTAAATCTGTGTTTAAATATGGAATTATTTGATAATGATTTCCTGCAATGGCTTATGGGTTAAGATTAAAGCTACTAACATATTTATCAACCATAGTAGCCACAGCTGTTCACCATAATGTTGCAATTACAAATAGGGAGGAGGTACCCCCTGTAAAGCTGGATGAAGATAATTTAAATTATTTAATAGAAATGCAAAGGATACCCAATCCACCAAACATGGGTATTGATGATGTAGGAGCAAGAGCCTTCAGAAATGAAATGGTACAATATTTTCAAAATTTAAATTAGGATCCCTAAGTACTTATATGTATTTTTA